GAGACAATTTTGAGCCTGTTTGAAATGTTCTGTAATTAAAGTTTGTGAAGTATTCCAAGTAAAAAATGAGTATAAATAATTCCTAGCAGTGCTTTGCACATGGGTGGTCAATAAATCTGGTGAATCGAAGGAATATGGAGTCAATTCTAGCAAAGCGCACAATATGAACATGCTACTAAAATTTTCCAAGTAGCATTAAATCATAAACACAATTTAAATCTTATTATCTTCCAAGAAAGTGCATATGAAAAGACAAGCTGTAATAAAGGTAGGTAGAGTTTTCAAGGAGTAACAGTAATGACAATAATGATATGGAATCCAGTATTTATTGAGCGCTATGTGCAGGAACACTGCTAAGAGCTTTATATTCATTATTTCATGTAATCCCTACAATAATCCTATGAGGTGGGCTTTAAAAAAAACTCTTCATTTTACAGGTGCAGTATCTAAGGCTCTAAAAGATACTAAATAACTTGCCCAAGATCAATGTGACTAACAAGGCAGAACTACGATTCAAATACAGATCTGATTTCAAAGCCCATATTCAAACAGTATATGAAACTGCCTTGCCACTACCTTCATAAATCTACGCAATGTTACTAAACATAAAAGGTTTTTAAAGACTTTGATACTGTATTAAAATCTCCCTAAACTTCTTAATATAAAAGTAATGACTGGATGTTGTAGCGTATTCTAGAGAAAAAGAACATGGGAAAGAAAATATTAAGGGAATATTAAAGCAGGCAAAATCTTTAAATCTATATAAGTTAACACATTTTCACTATACTTCTAATATAACTATTGGCGACCCTATTTCCTGAAGCATAACTTGAGTTATATGATTTGACAAAGCAAGCTTTAATATAAAGTTTCCAAATTGTCTGTCAGGGAATCCATCAGGTTCCTGAATAAAATCAGGGCCAGAGCCTTAAGGTTAGGCACAAAAGATTCCTTTACACTGTCTCAGAACACCTGGAATTTTATGGTTACTGTAATTGTGGCACTTAGCACTAAGATATCATTTTAAGTAATTTCAGACACAAAAATTTGTAATTTCATATATACCCTTCACCCAAATGTTATTATCTTAGCACATTTGCTTTATCATTCATTCTCTCAAAATACTAATATACCTTTTTTCTGAAAGGTTTAAGAGTAAGATGTAAATATGATGTCCCTTTATGTCTAAGTGTCACTTTGTGTCACTGCTGTATTTGAATCAGTCAGGCACATATCTGTCAATTGTGTCTTTCCCCACCCACCAAAAACTGAAGCCCTGTTTTATTAATTCAACTTGCTCTACTAACACCAGGCACAAGAGGAGCTACAAGACAAGGAAGTGTCACCCAAAAGGAAGTGACACATTAAATACCACGATAAATTTTTCAAGCCAAAGAAAGAGATTACAAATGTTGAGCAAAATATGCAGAACATTCTATACTGGGTAATTTAAGAAAAAACAAACCACAAGTTTGGCTCCTTACAATTTCAAGAAACTAAACTGAGTTGAGATTATGTTTGTGATCATAACTTATATTCTATACATTCTTGCTGTGAATAGGTAACACTCAGCATCTACTCTAGCACTGTTTCCTATCTCCTCACAGATTATTTTGCTCCACATAAATAACAGAAAGGCCTTAACCCCTTCATGAAAATTATTTTCAAAGAACCACCATTCATACATAATCACAGTTCCTCATAGGTATTCAAATGTTTAGTGATGACAGCTATCATATTCAAGTATTTCTACAAAACAGAGACCAGCATCAGTTATAAGCTAGAGCTATTTGTTATTATTAATGTCTGACATTTTGAAATACTGCTTTAAAAAAAGATAAAGAATATGCCTATTATCTAAACACACAGACCAAGAAGGGCAAAACACATAACATGCAGGATTTAATTCTGGCTATTCTTGTCCACACGTAATGTATAAATTTCTAATAAGAATAGGAGGGCAATATACCATTTTAAGTGCTCAATAACCACATGGGGCTAGTGGCTACCATATTGGATGGTGCAAATATAGAACATTTCTATTGTCACAGTTAAGTTCTACTAGACAGTACTGTTAAGCCGTGAGTTTTCTATACCCTTATAAAAAGTCCTGCACATTTGAAGTCCATGTCATTCAGCTAAACCACTGCTTCTCAAACTTTAATGTGAATATAAACCACGTGGGATCTTGTGAAAATGGACACTCCTGTTTAGAAGGTCAGGGTTGGGGATTTGAGATTAGACATTTCTAACAAACTCCCAGATGTTGCCAATTCTGCTGATCCACAGACTATGCTCTCTCCTTCCTGCCAACAATTACTAACTCCCAATCATTCTACCTTTCACATCAGACTTTCTGTAGCATATGGCTCAGAGCCCTTTTCTCCATCCCAAACCCTACCACCACCCTGAGTGATTTCAACTGTACACAGGGACAATCCAAGAGACACCTAGCCACTCAGTTTCTTGATCTTCAGTGATGTCTTCCATCAGCCACCCAGTCCCTGTAATCACATCCAGACACTTCATAAGCACCTAAAACGGTTCTCCCTCTGAAATCACTGTATTGCACTCTGGGACAACAAATGATTGCTTTCTCAAATACTTTCATTCTCATTGTTCTTCAACTTTGTCAGGACCTCCAGTCTACTAATTTCTTCCCATTTCTTATTTTCCTGCCTTCATCCAGTCTATTAATTTCTTCCTGTTTCTAACTTTCCTGCCTTCACTTCTCTATCAAACGTAGACTTCTCTCAGCTTCCTTATCCCTTTACTACTGTGTTGAACCCACTTGGCAAAATCCCAACTCTGAATTAACTAACCAGCCATTTTCTCTGTTATACCCAGGATCCTGAATTGCTGGGGGAAAAGTCACACCACGTGGATGATGGTATCACTATACTTAACTGGGTCTGCAATCTACTCTGGAAACCTTACATTTCTCTAGGCAAACTTCCTCTCCCAGTCTGCAGAATTGTTCTTTCAAACCTTCTCCTCTCTCCTTCATGCCTTCTTCCAACCCTCATGCCTGTCCCTACATATTCCCTCACACAGAAAACAGACAGATAGGAACCACCTATCCTCTTCCATCTCTCCTAGCAATAGTAGAAATGTCCTCCATCACAGGGTAATTGTTCCCCTTGTGCACTGAATCTTCCTTCCTTTATTTCAATCTCTTCTTGCCTGTTGGATCCTTTCTCATAAGCATTTATATATCAACTAATTCCTCCCTCCAAAAAAAAAGGCCAACTAAGTAAATGAAGCCAATCTGAACAGGCTACATACTGTATGACTCCAACTATATACATTCTGGAAAAGGCAAAACTATGGAGACAGTGAACAGATTCTCCAATTTAATGTTTTAAAACAATTCGTATTATATCAAACTAACATGGCAGACTAAATTATATAGTATTTGTCATTTTAAGTATTAGCAAAGTAGGTATTGAGCCACAGATGGCAAATGATCAAGAATTTGCCACAGGTATCAAATCCTCTTTGCTGTACAGACTAGTGCAGTACAATTCTTAAAACAAAGACAGTCCTGTAATACAATCCTGTAAACCCCCATCATAAATTACAATCATAAAGTAGAACATATGTTTCCCATTAGAACAATGAAATAGCTGGAAGTTCTGTTTCTGACAATGCACTCAATATGAAGTAAATTCAAGCTAGGATGGATGTGATAAAAGTAAAATTTCAGTAAATACAAGCTCTTTAATACTTTTAAATTGCAAAATTATGCTTCAAGTTCTACAATTTAATATAAACACACCACATATAGATGAATAATACTAGGGGCCCCAGTGTACTATAAAAGTATATATACTGAACCCAAAGTTCAAATCAATAGTATCACAAATTTGAATTGTAGTAATCCTGCCAGTTACATTAAAAGAAGTCTTAAACAGTATGAATTTAGATCTTATTAATAAGTTTCTCAAAGCAAAAAGGCCAAAATTATTCTACTTTATGTAGTCTGCAGTGACTGTTCTCTACCACTAGATGGTACAATCAGCTTCAGTAATTTAGGAAATAAAAGGGAAGATGTCTATATTAATTACTGTCATCCTCAAATACCCTGCTCCAATATGCTCATGTATTTGTATTCATCAGATTGTAAGTTTTGATCCTTGGCTTACCATATATGGTCACTACAATCTTAGGAGAATCAAATAAATACACTTAAAAACATTGTTCTTATTATTTATCTAATATGTTTACCTTAAAGAGGAGTTTTTGCTAAAGTATATTTTTAACGAGTACTTTTAAAGTATCTGGACTACTCTGGAGTCCTGAAATGGAAACAATACTATTTTGTATTATAAAGCCAAAATCTAAGAGATAAAAAGGGCCACAAATTTTAATGTAAGAAACAATTTGCTAAAACAATAGGCTCAACTCATTCTAAGCAACATGTTCTCGGGAACTAACCAAAACTTCAATTTGAGAACTTTCTCGTACCTTTTAAAGACCACGTAAAACTTGGCTAACTATATATAAACATGACTAACCTGGTTTTATATAAATTTAAGTGTAAACAAACTATAAAGTAATTTGAAAAGTTTATATTTTAAAACTGTCTTATGAACTTGTATTTTAAAAAGTACGTTAATAAAAATTGAACAGCAGAAAGCCTGGTGATCACAAAATGCACTAGTATCCCCAGTTCATTTTCTGTATCTGACAGCAGCAAAGACCCAATTATTACCTTTACAATCTACTAACACACAAATGAACACAGAAATTTCTAACCATTAGCATCACTTCTTCGTAAAGATAAATATATTCTCAATGTACTCTTTATATAAGAACCATGGGATAAGTTATCTCAAAAATTCAGATCTTTCTCACTATGTATGTTAGAGTTTATCCTAATGCTTTTCATTCTTTGAAATGTATTCAATATTGAGGTATACTTTATAGCAAAAACTAATACAGTATATATAATTCACATGAATTTCTTCTTGAAATTGAGCAGTAGCTGAATGACATACCTTCAGAGTTACATGCAGTTTTCTTGTGTTTTCGGCAATAAACCCTACAAAAATGAAGAAGTTAAAAATTATGAAGAAAACAAACTAAACTCATTTTTCAAATTAAGAGAATGAGTGGTACACTTCACCCAATTCACAAGTTGGATTCCAAAATTCTTGTTTTACACTTCCTATGCCATTTCTCTAAGCATTAAATTCCTTACCAAAAACACCCTTTAAGGTGATTTGAAATGCTTTGAAATGGCATTTTTACAAAAGCCTAAAGTATGGTTGTTAAAAAAAAACACTTAAAGAGAAGTTAAATAATTACATATAAATTCCTTGTGAAGGTTTCTCTCGGATTTGAGCTTTATCATGCACTGCACAGTGGTAGTGGTATGTCCTGTGACAAGTTTTCACATCACAACCAATTGTTGCTCCAGGACAATGGCACAGAGAACACATCTACAGCAAAACAATAAAATAATATTATTAGTGTGTGAATCTGCTAAGGCTGTGGTATCAGCTTAGAGGCATATCAATCTCTGTAATGCAAAACAATTGTTATTGAGAAGTTTTAATAATGTTATTTTTCTTTTTTTCTTGCCTAGAAATAATTTGAATAAATTGTGCTGGGTGTACTTTTTCCCCCCATGTAAAACACTAACAAAATTAACGGAAAATTATTTATGTGTACTGTTTTATTGTGGTCAAGAGAAAACGCAAAAGGTTGAGAATCAGGAATCCAGACATTTGCGGAAATGAGTAAATGGGAAAATGTCTCACACCAGAAAAAAATTTTCCTTCACATTTCCACTTAATCAATGAGAATCTTTAGAAAAAGCCTTACATACTATTTGGAAACCTGGTAAAAATCAATTTCAAGTGACAGAAGGAGAAAGGACAAAAGAATTAGGTAGATTTTTAATATTTCGGGCTCTAAAAATATTTTATGATGCCAAGTTGATTGTGAAAATATACTCATCTATTTTAATTTAATCTATGTTACTTACCTCTCAGCATTATGAATTCAGGCAAATAGATAAAAGAACAGATTCTTTCAACATAGTTTAATATACCTTACCTTCTGACTTTATTGGATAATTCATATTGTGTAACTAGCTTCATGCTCTAAATTTAGAAAACAATTCTTTAAAAAAGCACATAATGATGACTGTTAGTGGATTTAACATATTACAGTATACTGTACTGAGGACTTTTAATAAAGCTATCTTCTAAGATGTAAATGCCATGCCAAAATAAATTCACAGTAAGGTAAATCTTAAAAATTGTTCATTTGCTTCTTGGTTGCTAAGATGACTCATTCCTCATTCTTTTTTTATTAATTTTCACAAAGAACACTTACCATTCTAACTTTTGGATTACTTGACCCCCAAAGGAATTTTGGTACACTGGGAAGCTAATATAAATTCCAAAAAAATTCCTTATACTTCTCTAAGCTAGTCCAACATTGAACCTCTCATTCAAGCTATCATTTAAAAGACACTCATATGTAAGTCAGAAACAGAAACATTCTCAGTACAAGTACTTCCCAGAAAACATGAAGGCCAGTGCCCATTAATACTAGAAAAATACTCCACTTCCTTAAATAAATACAGAAACTTCAAAGTACTACTGTAGAAAGAAACACTGCCAATCTTATCAAGTAGGCAAAGCTATTAAATACCTTTGGGTGGCTTATAAATTCTTGAGGAGGTAGGTAGAGCATTTGTAGCTTAATTATGCAGCTTAATGAGATTCCATTATTTTAGTAAATTACATTTCTAGTAAAAAAAAGACATTATAGAAATTTTGGAAAACACAAAATCACACAAAAAAATTTAATTCACTCATACTCACCACACAGATGCTTTTACAATATTAAAATACTCACGTGAAGAGAATTTTTCTATGTAATTCTGTACATGCTATTTTGCAACCTGTTTTGTTTTTTAACTTAATAAATGGAACATTACCCCTCTTCACTAAGAACTCTACTGCAAGTAGTTCATCTTGAAATTACATCCAAAATGGGTTTGCATAGGTACATGTTGAAAAAAAGCATTGAATTCAATCAGCAAGCAAAAATGGAAGGAGAGGTACTGTTAAAAGTACTGTACTGGGCTCAACACTGGCAAAGATACAGTGAGATGGGCCCTCTCTTATACTGCTGGAACCTGGTACATTCTCTGGACAGCAATTTGCCTCATTTATCGAAAGGCCTCTAAAACGTTTCTATTCTCTGACCCAGTAATTTTACTTCTATTAATCTAGTCTAAGAAAATCAGACCCAAATGATTTATATATAATCATGTCCATTGCAGAGTTATTTAGAATAGTCCAAAATGTAAAACCAACTAATGAAAACAATTACAAAATGTTTTAAATAAATTAGAGCACACCCATATGTAAAAATATTCTATAGCCACTCTTCAACGTAATTCTAATGGCATGGGAAAAGGCTTATGTATAATACTAAGTGAAAAAATGAGGCAGGACACTAAACCATGTGAATTATGATCCCAATTATGTTTACAACATAAATTCTTTGAAAATAGGTACAAGTAGATCTACAAGTAGATCTAGCAAAATGCTGCGTAGCTATCTCTGGGTGGTTGGTTTTCTTCTTATTATTTCCTGGATTTTATCTTTTCTACAATGGGCAAAAAAATTTTTACATACAAAAATTATTGTAAAAACATTGTGAATATCCTAGCAAATGCTTCCAATACCCATCTTTCAGTTTATTGAGAATGAGAAGGAAACCAAATATCCAAAATACATACATCAAAATGAGTTTGGGGCTGGTTATAAATTCAGATCTGTTCAAAGTATATAACCAACTAACTACAGCAACTTAGATAAATATTTTTTAAGTGAGAAAGAGTTTATTCTCACATTTATTTTCAGTTTCTCCAAAGTAAGAAAAGGAAGAGGAAGACAAACCAATAAAAATGTTTTCAGAGTGGAAAATTCTTAAAGGCTAGGAGTAGGAATTGTTCTCAATTTGAATTTACAGGATCTATTTTATGCGTCATTCACATGCAAGCAGAAATACTTGCTTTTATATGAAATTCTGGCAAGGTACTAACAAAATAGCAAGAAGTACCCATAATAAAACTGAATAAAAATTTACATGTATACTTGTGTACCTATGAATACTAAACAGGAACATAACTGTTATCTTTGTTTACTATGCTGTATTCCAACCCCTGAAATAATTCTTTTTCCCTGAACTCCCATGGGACACAAGTATACTGTTCATTTTGGCTCTTACCATTTTACTTCCCTAAGTGTCTAATTATCTGTATAAATATACATATTTTATCCATCAATTGCTTTTAGACTGAGTCTTTTGGAGACTAATGCTGCACCTTACAAAGAAGTGCTCAATAAACCTGTTGATTTTAAGCTTACACTGTTACTTAAGATTTTAATATGGGGCATATTTTCTCTCATTCATGTTTGTAATACCTGTAGACTTAATATAATTATCTTCATGTATGTCTAAAAATATTTAAATAGTCTGATCTAGGATTTGGAAAAGTAAAATTGAGGAAGATAATCCAGTTGAAAGGGCACAGAATGAGCAGAGGCAAGAATTTTGTGGGACAAGAGCAGCCCTATTGGAAACAAGGTTAAAAATCAGGAAGAGATAAAAAGAAAAATTGAAGAAGTTGGGGAACTAGATAGGTGGCTTGTGTACTTTTCTTTAAAAAAGTTATGGTAAATAAAGAGGACTTTTCTTAAAATAAGTGAAATAATAGGAAGATGAGATTCCCTATAGAACAAGGCACCAGTAGGTTGGACCTGAGTAACATTTTTCCTGTATTCCTCTTTACACAAAACATTTGCCCTCCAATTTGTCACAGTTCCTACCAGGCCCTCAGTAGAAAGCTGTCGGCTGCCATTTAACATCGTGCTTGCACTGTACCCATGGCTCTCAAATGTGGGAGAATGAAAAGTTAACCTGACAGGAACATGTTTTTCAAGAACAATAGTGGACCTCTTCCCCGCTGAACAAAGGTCTATCCCACATTATCAATTATTCTGTTGAGGGGTAATTTCCTGTCCCCAATATAGGTACAAATGTCAGTTCTCAGCTGATCCTGCTCACGCCTGATTTCAAGTTCTTTAAACAGAGGTGAAAATTTCTTTGTTAATAAAGATTTTTTTTACTCCTCTATTTAGTTTACTACTTAGTAGACCTAGTAAACCTCAATACTCAATTACGTCCTCCAAAATGGGGAGACTTGAAAAAGAGGCTCCATCCTATTATAGATGTTTGCATGTCTTCTTTATAGTATGGCTAGAAGTTATACTAAGTTTAAACATTTTTAAATAAAAAGTAGACATATTTTTTAAAAGTTATATATATACACTATATATTTAAGACATACAGCATTTTTTTTGTTTCTTTATCAAGATATCATTGATATACAATCTTATGAAGGTTTCACAAGAAAAACAATGTGGTTACTACATTCACCATTATCGAGTACCCCCCTCCATACCCCATTGCAGTCACTGTCCATCAGTGTAAGATGCTAGAGTCCCTACTTGTCTTCTCTGTGCTACACTGTCTTCCCTGTCACCCCCCCTACACACCATGTGTGCCAATCATAATGCCCTCAATCCCCTTCTCCCTCCCTCCCTACCCGCCCTTCCCCACCCCTCCCCTTTGGTAAATTGCTAGTCCCTTCTTGGGAGTCTGTGCGTCTGCTGCTATTTTGTTCCTTCGGTTTTGCTTCCTACAGCATGGTTTAATACACATATACAGTGAATTATTATTATAGTTGGGCTAATTAACATATCCATCTCTTCAGAGTTGCCACTTTTTGGTGTGTGTAGTGAAATCTACTCTGAGCAAATCTCCTGTACAGAATGCAGTATTGTTTACGACAGTCGCCATGCTGTACATCAGACCTCTAGACTTAGTCACCCTACAAAACTGCAACTTTGTGCCCTGTGACCAGCATCTCCCCACCTCCCCTGCTTCCCTGCCCCTGGTAATCAACGTTCTACTGCCTGTGGAGCTATACTAGGTTAAAGATAAGTTGTACCACATAAGCAGTCTCAAGGAGTTGACCCACAGTCGAAAGAGGAAGTCAGCCATGCATGAGAGGAGACAAAAGGAACTGAGAGGGTTATGACTTGGCTGGAAAGTCCTGCAGGAGCTCAGAGGCTAGGACATATCTGCTCCTCAATTAACTGAACTGGGCCAGGACTGAACTTCAGTTGGCAAAGGGAAGAAGTCTTAAGGAATAGAAGGAAAAATACTGCTTTCTGAATAGCTATGGGGGGGAGCTCAGGGAAAACTCAACTAAGACCAGAGACAGGGTAAAACTCAAATGAGATTGCCAACTTCTAGGATAGGAGGAAAGAGAAGGCTCTTGGGGAAAAGCTGGAATCTGACAGAGCCTACAGAACCAAGGGACAAAGGGCTCTCTAATAAGACACAGCTT